TATACCAAGCAGCAGCTGTTGTCTGCTGGTCTTTCATTACATAGGAAGAAAAAGAGTCATTTTTGCACAAAGACTCAATTTGATAAAAAGCATTTCTGCCATTCACAGCAATTGTTCACAAAACACAACCACATTTTGCTACAATTTCATGATTTTAAAAAATGGCACCTTCAAGATTAGTAGATATTTCAACCACTCAGGTACCTTTAGGTTGACTGTACAGTGGTCAGCTTCATGTCCCAAAATGGTACACTTTATAAATCTACTATAAAAATGCAATACATTTTTTTTCTTACTTTCGTTGCATTAAATCTATTCAGCAGCTTCAGACCTATCAGTACATATAAAGTTTTTCATGTTTTTTCTATGTTTTTGTGCCTCTTTTGTCCCCCGTCCCAAAAAAAAATAACTTTTTTTTTTTTAAGGAAAACCCACAATATGCAGCATTTTCCAGAACAAAACTTTAAAAAATGCTAAAAGGAATCATTTTGGTGCAGGTGTTTCAGCTCAAAATTGACGACACTCAACCTTTGTGAGCTAAAGCAGTACACTTATAAAACTTCAAAACAAATTCAATATAGAGATATACAAGAAAAAACTATATAACCTGTTTTTTACTGTAAATACATCATTTTTATCTTATGAACATCTTTTATATTTCATGTGTGTCAGTGTCCTGGTGTGAATAATTGATAGTTGGGGGAACTGGGATAATGGGAGAGACTGTTTGTGTGTGTGTGTGTGTGTGTGTGTGTGTGTGTGTGTGTGTGTGTGTGTGTGTGTGTGTGTGTATGTTTGATGAACACAAACCATCTGCTCACACACACACACACACACACACACACACACACACACACACACACACACACACCTCAGACACTCATTTCACACCGAGCAGAGGGGGCATTAACATCTGGCACAGATGGCCATCTTGAAACCTTAAACAGATGACACAGCTGCCACATTCACAGGAATTAACCACTGGGAACACTGGTTTCATCCCAGCAGACCAAACATTAAGAAATGCAAATGCAGACAAAATATTTCACAGCTCCCAGTTTGTCACCGTCTCGTAAACACAGGCTCTGTCTGCTCTGCAGGCCGAGGGGAAGCGTGTCAAAGTCACACTCGTAATCACGGCGCTGTTGTTGAGGTTCTGCCTTGAGAATCTCGGTTTAAAGGTTACTGGGCCGAACATGTGACACGCTGACGGGTTAACTGGAAAAAACCTCTTTGAATGTGACCATAAAGAAAAAAAAAAGGCCAGCTTTCTGTTCCCGATAAATGTAAGAAATACAAAATAGCTTTCGCAGCTCCACACAAACGTTTCTCACCTTTCGCCAGCCCAACGCCAAACGTTTCAGCTCCACCCCCAGGACTCCTTTTACGGGTTTCTTCTGAGAGGACTAGATTTTTTTGTTTCAGGGTATCGGAGTGAAGGAGGCTGGACACAAACGAACGCTGCACTTTTTGGGATATTTATCCTTCCAATTTGCACTAATTGCACTAATTTGTTGCTGATCTGTCGTATCAGATCCAAGTAAAAATACTCAGAAGCGCGTAGCTTTGAGACAAAACACAAAAATATTCATGTATCTGATTTCAGATGGTTTTTTAGTTGCAATTTTTTCCCCATCCAATTTGTTTCCTGATTTGATAAGGAAAACATTTTACATTTTTATAACTGTATGGCTGACATATCCAGATTTTTCAGGGAGTTAAGATATAAACAACAAGCTGAATAAACCACTTTAATGTCTGATGTTTTTTGTTGTTGTTTTGTTTGTGTTCTGTTCTTGTCTCCGACTTCATGGAAGCTGACATTTACAACAAATGTATCTAAACGCATCGTGAAAGACACGGTACATTTCTGCAGAACTGTACCGGGTTGTCGATGCACCACATGAGTATAGACAGCAAATATGCAAAAAAAATATACAAATAAATGATGCATCAACTTTCCCAGAGGTTTTTTTTTTCTTTCTTTTTCTCAAATGCTTCACTGGTGAAATATTGGGAAGTGAGCTGAGAGTTCCTAAATTACAGGCGGGATGGGATCACGGGACAAGAACTGATTGCATTTCCCTCAAGCCAGATTGTTAGTCTTTCACATGAAAAGCAAACACACACACACACACACACACACACACACACACACACACACACACACACACACACACACACACACACACACACACACACACACACACACACACACACACACACACACACACACACACACACACACACACACACACACACACACACACACAGAGAAATGAACCACAGCTGCAGCCAGTCTCTTTTGACTGAAAATATGTCAGTGTGACTAACCCAGTTATCTGTGCCTCAAACCAGGCTGACAATGAGAGGGGGGAAAGTGGGCTTCTTACACACTTTCACACACACACACACACACACACTGTCTCTGAGGGTGTCGCCTGTCTCTCTTATGTAACAGCTCAGCACTGAGTTCCAGGTTATCAGCTTACAATCAGATGACGAGCCAAGGAAGGCGTTGCTCCTCCTGTAAATCTCCTCTCACTTCTTGCGCTTTATCCTCCCCTCGCCTTTTGTCCCGCAGGCGCTTTGCTACACAAAAGTGGGAGTGCGTGTGAAACTGGGAGCGACCTAGAAAATAAAAACAGAAAGAAAGAATACAAAAAAAAAAAAAAACAGGAATGAGAAGAAGGACTTTGCAGCGGTTGCCTTAAAAGGGCAACCAGAATGCGAATTACCTGCCCGCTGTAGCCAATGGCAGCGCTGCAGGTCATCTGCATGCAATCTCTCAGAGCTGCATTCCGGGACATTGAAGGGAAAAAGTCAACTTTCTGGTGCACACCACATACTAAAAGAAAAACAAGTATTAGACACTGTCTGATTTGTATTTCTTTACCTTTTCTTTTCTTTCTTTTTGTTTTGTTTATTTACTTCAAAAGAGATAATGCAGAGTTAGCCATAAAGGCTAGTTTTTATCCAGGTACAATTAGTAAAAATACAACATGTTACAGTGCATTGCAGACAACTTAACAAGTTTCTACCACTAGATTAATCATAAATAAAAAGCTCTATGTAGTCTGAACGAAGACATCATGTTTTGTCAATGAATACATACTTTACAAACATTTTTACTTTATCTTATAAAGCTGCAGAATATAAACAAACTCATGAACAAACACTTTGCGGTACTTGCTCGTTTTTTTTTTTTCGGAACAACTCGTGGCAACGAGACGCTTTAAACTTAGCGTTCATCAATTCATAACCGCTAATGCACAGGTGTCAAACTCCAGTCCTGGAGGGCCGCTGTCCTGCAGTTTTCAGATGTGCCACAGGTACAAAACATTGGAATGAAATGGCTTGGTTACCTCCAAAAGTAAGCCACAAATTTGAGCATACAGAGGCGACTGGAAGGCACCGAAAAGCCGTTTCACTGAGGCTTGACTCGGACGGGCTGAACACAAACGCACACCACATCTGAAAAGTGTAAAAACCAAACGAAGCGCGTTACCTTGCCTTTCAAACGTGTCGAAAATTGAATCGTATTCAAGCAGACGCCGTGCGTGTTTTCACAACATGACCTATATTTTTACCCGCCGCTATGGGAATCCCTTCAGCTGCAGAACGCACACACCGGGTCGCTCAAGCATGCACAGTCACAAATAGCCTCTCAGAGACCTTTTTAGCTTTCAGATTCATCTCCGTCTGTCACCTCACCTGTTTGACTCACTGACACCAAGTGAATATGTGTGTGTGTGTGTGTGTGGTGGGGGGCGTGCACTCTGTTGGGGTGAACCGTGGAGCGGCGAGGCAACAGCTTTGTCCAAGCAAAAGCAAGCAGGGGGAATAAAGGAAGGAAAGCAAAGAGTGAAGGGTTGCTGCAACCCTGTGACTGGAGAGACATGCTAACACCTTGGAGACGAGGAGATAGAAACGACAGAAACGATAGAAATGCCTTTGTTTTGGAAGTGGGAGGCCGCTTCCCAAACAGAGAGGTCGGTGGAAGGTTTTTCTTGCTGAGCCAACATGCTGCGGGTCGTAACCCTAACCCTGCTCTGCAGAGGTCTGAGTCAGTGGCGTTGAAACTCAGAGGTCATCAGCGGAGAAAGTTGAGTGGAAGAAGCGGCAGAAGGCAAATTTAGAACGTGTCTATTAGTTTCCTGCCTTCCACGGCTGAAATCCGCTGAATCAGCCAGACTGAAAGCCTCACCGACATCAAAACAGACGGCCAAGCTGAAACATTACTTCAAAACCCAATGAGTCACAAAACCAGCTAAGACGCGTCTTGATTTCTTAGCTTGGGGAAGGCTGGAACTTTCTGCAGGCGATTGGATCATTTTGGAAAAACCTCAAACTGTATGTTGAACATCCTCACCAGCCTGTTGCCCAAAACTTCCTGTCCTCACGCAGACAGACAGCCTCGCTTCGCTGTCAAATCATATAAGGAGACATGAAGCTTCTCTCAGCCTCTGCAGCACCATTGGCTCAGCAGACATGTGTCTACCTGTCAACTGTTAACCTTATATGGTGCCACATAAAAGGGGGGGAGAGAAATAAGAGGAAGTTCCTTTCAGTGAAGCGTTAGGCAACTGTGTGGTTTATATGAGTTGTTTTGAGCTATAGGGGGCAGTAGAGAGCAGCCCACAGGGAGGATGCAGCTTCAGGAAGTGCTGATTTTCAATTCTACATTCATACGCTTATCCACAAACACTGAAAGCTGATTTTTTTTCTTCTGCCAACAGGGCAGGATTTTCTGAAAAACAAAGAAAGTAGTTTTTTAAAAAATTATTATTATTATGAGGTCCTTCAGAAACTTTACACTGTCAAATATAAAACCACTCTATTGGCAAGCACACAATGAACTGCTGACACGCACACACACACACACACACACACACACACACACACACACACACACACACACACACACACACACACACACACACACACACACACACACACACACACAAATTGTTCTTCTTCTGACAGAGAAGGAAATTGGAACAAACTCCTCCTTTTGCAGTTTCCAGTTACTGAAGCATATCTGAACGAGAAGTGAAATCCACACGCGCGCACACACACACACACACACACACACACACACACACACACACGCATAAGATAAAAACACACACATGCACACACAGTCATGATACATAAAGAGATAAAGTCTTGCTATTTACTTGAATATTTAAAAGAAAGATAAATGCAACTAATAATTGAGAAATTCATAACGAAACCACAAGTTTACACATGCACACACTTACACACGCGCACGCACACGACACACACACACCAACAATTTCGCCTGTCCTCAGGGTGAAACTGATTTCTTGAGATGGTATCCCATGTGACCAGTCTTGCATTCCTCGGATTATTGTCATGTGACAAACTTAAAGATCTCCTTTTATGGATGTCAGTGTTGACAAGAAGGTGTGGCCTCAACAATACACACCCCACCAGGTCAGCACACACACACACACACACACACCAGCACAAACGCAGAATGCCTAACCTGACTGTAACTTTACTGCACACTCCTACCAGCATGAACAAGCCTTGAGAGACAAAAGAGTCGAAGGAGTTGCGAAATCAAAACTGTCGCTTGTTATTTCTCCTGAATTTCACAACAAGTGCTACATTGTGCAGACCTGAACTTTTTCTAATCCTGTAAAAGCTCTCGGCATTAATTAGCACTGCCGTTTCTATCTGCTAATAGTCGGTGATACTTCAGTGGCTTCACATTGGTTTGGTCCATTTGGTTCAATTTCACATGCAACAGTTTGGTATCAGTTGTATCTCTGAAAATATGAAAAATACTCCGTACACCGCCTCGCGATCTCGTTATGTTAGCTGGATATGCAGCTGGAAAGTAAAATGAATAAAAAGATGATCTGCACAAATTCAACCCATTTGTTTAATGCCTACAGCCACATTGGGTACCACTCTGGTATTGTTACAGGACGTTTACCAAGTTGACACTTTAAGACGAGGCCTATGCCATCGTAGGTGGGAAACGGGACGCAAAATGAGTTCCAAATAGAACTGTCAGCAGATGATGAAATGATGAAATCAACTCTGAAAAAAGAAATAGGACCAATAGGACCTTGAATCCTGGATGTATCTCATTTTTAATACACATTTCATCCCCAGCTGTGACCTGCTCAGGGTACCTCTTGTATAGTCAGTCCAAATGGGCCCCAGGCAGGAAGGTCAATGTAAAATATGGGCCCACACTGGTGGGAAACAGGCTGGAAAAAGAATCCCAAATAGGATGGAGCCATGTTTACCATCAGGACAGGTGAAAGGCAGATGAACTCTGTGGGGGAAAAAACGGACGCCATTTTGAATCTACCCATTTGGGATCCAAGTGAGCGGAAAGAACACTGACCAAAATATGAGATGTGTATTGACGTAACATCTGTTTTCACAACTGTTGACTGTGTGACGTGTTTGTTTCGTTTTTATGTCTTCATGATGTGAGCTGCCATGTTTCTGAAATGTGCTGTACAGATCAACTTGATTGATCCGGTTGATTCAAAAGGTTTCCATTGAAGAAGCCCATTATGAGCCGAGGCCTGTGTTGCGCCCCGCATGGGGCCCATCCGCACGTGTTGGCTTGTTTGTGTTTCTCATCTTTTATTTGAGCTAGGGGTCAAGGGTCACAGTTTATGACCGCTTATCAAACCAAAATAACTCTAATGCCACCTGATGTTCACAGATACAATTTAATGGCGTTGCATAACCTCATTTCTTATTACAGTCATCAGGTGAACAACGCCATAGTGTGTGAATCGGCAGGTGGCCAGGCCGCGTTGCGTCCTGCCGCTGAGCAACTCCGGCTTGCATTTTGTCAAACCCTCGGGTGTAAAAGCGCCGCTCGCATGCTGAACTAAGCTGAAAGATTGCTGGCGCGAGCGATTAAGAGATTTCCAGTTTTAAGCTTCCAAAGGGACTGCGTTTGTGACACGAACGTGTCAAGATGCTAAGTCAGGAGAAGGAGATAGCGGGGGAGATAATGACTGTTATCAGGAGCGAACCAGGAGAGGGTGAGATAACCGACAGGGCGTGTTGTACACTTGAAGAGAAAAGCTGGGAGATGGACTGGCGAACAAGGTGTGGCACGCTTGTTCTTGTGATTCCTCGGCAGGCTGCACATGCTTCTCTTTGACAGGAGGCTCTCCACTTCCTCCTTTGCCCCACTTCCTGCTTCTGCTGCTGGCCTATGTCCATATATGGCAGCTGCCGGCGGCCAATCGGAGCCGAGCAGGCGACTCATTCAAACAGCCGGGGAGAGATGGGTGGGAACTGCAAACACATATCAAGAACTGCAGCATACATAATAATAATAATAATAATAATAATAATAATAATAATAATAATATATTCCAGCCCAAGCAGATAACACATTTCCACGCTTGACTGGCTGACATACGGAGGAATAAGAAAGTATTTGTACAGACGTTTGACTATGTAAATAGTGCAGACGAAAGCAGAAGGCGCTGACAAGAAGCTATGCAGAGAATGGAGAAACAGAAAGTTATGTAAGGCATTTTTAACCACAGACAACAACCCATTACGTGTAGGTGGCTGACCTCTCTTGGCGTGCTTTAACTGAGGGGCAGCAACACGATAAGGAAGACCAAGAAGCTGGGGCAGGACCGTGGCCAGTCAGAGGCCACGAATCTCCAAACGAGCCAATAGAAGGCGGGCAGCTCACAGGTCCCTCCCATTGGTCAGAGGCAGATGGCTGAGAATGGATGAGCCTCCCTGGGTCCACCAGGATGCATGGGGGGTATAAAGAGTGTGTGTGTGTGTGTGTGTCATCAGCTTTCAGGTTTTCTGCAAAGACCCTTTGACTTTACATTCAAAACCGACTGATCACACTTGCGCATGCGAAACAGGCCTCCCTCACTCTACCAGTCAGCACATCATTTCACAAATGTGTGCTGCCGTGAGGTTTGATTGGAGGCTGCTTTGTCATCAGTGCCGGGTTTGAACGGCACCTGAGTCAAACATCACACCCTTAAAAGGCACCCCAGCCTGGGCTGTGGGCCAATGGCAAGCAGGGACAGTGTGAGGAAGTGAGGTGGGTGAACCAGAAGAGGAAGAGAAGCGTATCTGTGTGTGTTAGGGAGCAACAGGGGCAGCGGGAGGGAGGGGGGTGGGAAATAAATGCAACATTTTATGACAGACTTTCCAGCCTCAGGCATTGCTGCATGTGGCTGATCGAATGACTGTGAACTGGGCTGCACACTTCAAGCTTTTAATCAGATTTTACCCTGATGATCATATGATTTTTGAAAGGGCAGGGAGTCTACGACGGCCTTGCAATGCAGAGCACAAAACGCACACAAAAAAATTCTTTTGCACTTCCATCTAAAGAAAACGAAGCAGTGACAAAAATGTCAAAAAAAAAAGGAAGCAGGAAACCAGTGAACCAACTAAATTGGGCCCAGTTTCTTACAATAAAACGCTTGTTGTGGTCTGAACTACCCTGCTGGAGATGAGCTTTTATGTGAACTAAGCACAGGGAACCAGAAGATAATTAACCTCCCAAATATTTTATATGATCCAAATCTCACCGCCTGGCTTTATTAGTCACACTGCAGTTGTGTCAGTAAATATAAATTGAACACGGTGGTTCTCAAATGTTTAGTGCCAGCTCCACAAGCACTAAGCCTTCTGATCACCACCGTTTTCACAAAACATGATCAAAAACAGGTCTTTGATTTCTACACCTTGTTAAGTTTTATGTGGTGAAAACAAACAAAAAAAAAAACAAGAATAACAAAGGCTATCAATTAGCACTGCGTGATTGGTTTAACAATGGAGTTTACTTGTGCCCTGCCGTCTCTGCTCAAGAGTTGAAATTTTCTAGACTGAATTTGAGAGAATTCGGGGAACGGTTGGTGGAAGCCGGAAATCCGTGTGGAGAGTTGAACGTTTCCAGCCAACCCTGATTTCATAATCAAATATGGCTGCCTCACGTGTTATAGCTGACCAGGAGTAAAAGAAAAAAAACAAAAACACATTAATCTTTTTCACACTCAATACCTGTTTCAGTTATTTATTTTGTTGTCACAAGTTATAAAAATGCACAAGAATTTGTTTTGCTAATCATAGTTAGCCTAGCATATCAGAAGAAGCAGCTACAAGCCTCATTCCTGGACTGAGCAGAATATAGAATAAACACCCAATAAATGCAAAAGTATTGTTCAAGTAGACTTAATTTTTTTCAACATAATGTTATGCGCTTTTGTCACTTTTGTTACAGTCAGCCTGGACTCTGTAAGATGATTATCCAGTTTAGATGTTGTTCGCATTCTGCAGTCGACTGGCTTAAAGATGCGTGCTGCACTTTTTAAA